GTCCTCATGCACACTGGATGTTTTTACAGCTGCTGTTTATGGCTTTTGACATTTTTTTTCTGCAGCCAGTAAACCCCCCAGCATGTTAACTTATGTGTCCACGCACACAAAGACCGTAATCAATATTTTTTGGCTGGACTAGTGGGATTCTAGAGGAATTTTTGGCTGGACTAGTGGGATTCTAGAGGAATTTTTTAGCTGTAAAAAAGCTCTAATGCTGAAAAAAGCAGCAAAATGTGGTAAAACGCCACAAACTGGCATTTTTTTACTTTTCCTAAAAAAATATTTTTTTGGTGAAAACAAAATGCTAAAAACCGCAAATGCGGCAAAATGCCGCTAAGCGCGGCAAAACGCAGCTAAAAGCGATTTCAAAACGCTAAAAAACTCACGTTTTTAACTTGACTTTACACAGCTAACATTACCAGTGTTATCAAAATGCTCAATGCCTAACAGGGTGAATAACAGCTGAGCATCGGGACTCTAACAAAGCTCTCACAGCAACTGTTTTTCCTAATGTCCATTTGATAGATTGTAAGCTGAGAGATTTAACCACTTCCCGACCGGCCGTTGTATATTAACGGCCGGACTGTGGCACTGCAGGGTTGGGTGGCCATTTATATAAACAGCCTCCCCGCCACCCTGCTTGTGCGCGCTCCCTGGGAGCGCACAGCACCGCGATCCGATTGCCCGCTGTGTCCTCCGGACACAGTGAAATACCGATCGTCGGACGGGACCTCTGTACAAGGTCCCGATCATGTGATCACTGATTGGCATTGGCCAATCAGTGATCACATGCAAAGTAGTAAGCAAGATGTCACTTCTGACATCATTGCTTACTACGTGTGAAATCTGTGAATGATCACAGAAGTCACATGGTACAAGGCTATTCACAACAGCCTTGTACCATGTGACAAGCTGTGACCAATCACAGCTCACTCAGTAGTTCTCAATGGCTGCAAAAATGCAGACAGAGAGAAAGAGAAATGATTGCTTTTAATCCTATATGGGTATAAAAGCAATCAGTGTAAAAAAAAAAAAAAAATAATATTCATAATCTTCATCACCCCCCAAAAATAGTACAGTGCCACCATGGACATTTTTTGGACATTTTCATTTACATAGCAAAAAAAATAAAAATCCCAGCGATGAATAAATACCACCAAAATAAAGTGGTATCTGTCTAAAAAAAAAATGGTAAAAAATTCATATGGGTACAGTGTTGCATGACCGTGCAATTGTCATTCAAAGGGTGATAGCGCTGAAACCTGAAAATTGCCCTGGTCAGGAAGGGGGTAAAAGTGTCCGGACTGGAATGGGTTAAATCCCAGAAAACACTACCTACTCTGTGTTTAATTAATAAAGTGTGGAAGAAAGCTAAAAACACCCAGGGTTTATGAATTATACCAAGTTTTTTCATAATATTAATTATCCTAAGCTTTTCAAACTGGTAGGCTTTGATACGTTGGTTGCATATGGTCTCATTTATATTGTGCAACTGTATAACTGAAAAGTCCCTAAAGTGGCTGTAAAGGCTGAAGGTCCCCCCCCCCCCCACCTTCAAGCATTCTATGTATGCAGGTGAAAAAACTTCCGTCTCGCTCTCCCCCCCGTAGCTCCTCCCCCCTAATACTTACCTGAGCCCCTTCTCAATCCAGCACTGTGCACAGGAGCTTCGGCTCTCCCAGGATTCCCTTTCCTCACTGGCTGAGACACAGCAGCAGGAGCCATTGGCTCCCCCTGCTGTCAATCACAGCCAGTTAGGAGAGGGTGGGAGGCAGGGCTGAGCAATGCTCTGTGTGTCTCAGACACAGAACCGGCTCGGGAGCAAGCACGTCAGTGCCCCCATAGCAAGCTATTTGCTATGGGGGCACTGAGAAGGAAGGAGGGAGGGGCCAGGAGCGCTAACAGGGGACCCAAGAAGAGGAAGATCAGGGCTGCTCTGTGCAAAACCATTGCACAGAGCAGATAAGTATGACATGTTTGTTAATAAAAAAAAAAACTTGAGCGTTTAAGATCCCATTAAATATTTTCAGTCATTGAAAGAGGAGTTTGGGGTGTTCAATAGATGGTTTAATATCTGCAACTGTAACATGCAATCGTGGCACAGTCTTGTGTGTAGTCCTTGACTGTTCCTATTCTGATTGAATGACTGCTTCTCTTAACAAAGGGTTAGATATCATCGTATAAAGCATTGTTAGAGCATTCTATGAATCTTGTGACTCTCAAGTGTACTAAACACTATCAATCAGATATAGGGCCTATCTCTGATGATGAATGGTCTGACATTCTAAATAATGTGCTACACTCTCACTACACAGAAATATGTTTCACTCTCACTACACAGAAATTGACACAATTGTTTACTGTCCATAGAACCTATCATACACCTCAAAAACGTTTTAAATTCCATAGGAGATACCTTCACTGTTGCATGTAAGATGTGCACTAGACAAGGGTATGATGATCCGCATGCTCTGGAAATGGCAAAACATTTCCAATATTGGACACTAATATTAGAGCCAATCAATAATGTTTTTCTCTTTTAGTCTACAACCTAATTGGGTGTTGGGTTGGTTGGATGGGAAGCAACACTCTCCAAGTGTGCATATTGCTGTTACTCGCTTGTTAAAGGGGAACTTCATCTTCTCAATCAATACGGACTTATTTTAATCCTCATGCTGCTAGCATTAGTAAAGAGATAGGAAACTATATCATATTTACTTGTTTGACATTTTTTTTTTACATTTCTTTAGTTACTTCCTGGTTTCCATGCCTAGGCAAATGATGTCATACATCCCAGGTGTCTTCAGGAGGGAAAAGGTGTTTTCTGAGCCAAGCACACCCTCCTGCCTGCACACCTGAGCTAAGGGCAGATGGATTCCAGGAAGCAAATGCCACATGAATCATCTGCCCTTACTTAAGATGGCCATGGCCAGAAATGCTAGGGGGGGGTGTTTTTCAAAGTGAACAAAACAAAGCAGGGAGACCTGGATTTGATTTGAATATTAAAAATTAATTAAACAGCAATACTGGTTTATGCTGCTCAGATGCAAATTAGTTAGCTTTAACCAGTTGCTCTGCGCCCACGTACATTTACTGCATGCAGGCAGCACGGGCAGGCTCCGTACATGTATGTCATCTAGCCTGCTCCAGAGGTTAGGGAGTATGAAGCTCATCGCTCCTGCGATCACCTCTTTAAGCAGCCCAAGGGTCATGTGATCGCTATGCCATCACATGATCACAATGTCAACAAAGCTGTTATGAATAGAATGTCATTCATAACAGCTGTGCTTTCTATAGAGTGATGCTGCGATTGGCATACAGCTATAACATGATACCTATGCCAATCACAGCACCCTGTACCATGTGATTAGCTGTAGTCAATCACAGATCATTAGTAATCACAGCTGTTGTGAATACAACCCAATCATGATAGTTCAAAACAATGCAGTTACAGTGGTCACCATAGTAACAGCAATGAAAGATTATATGAATAAAAAAAAAAAATCCCTGATCACCTCCTTAGAGTAGTAAAGTGTTACTATAGAGACACTGAACTACTCTGATGAAAGTATTAAAAGAAAAATTTAAATAAATATATATTTTTTTAAACATACTGTCACTAGTCAGCATCCCTGAACACGGACACACCAGTCATATGATGACGCTGTCCTGCAATGGTGACAGTATGTAAACAAATAAAATGTATTTCTTCATTTTCCAAGATATTGTGACAAAAATTACAACTTCAAAATACTCACCATGCCTCCGATTAAATAATTCTGTCTACTTTAAATTAAAAAAAAAAAGTTGTTTTTTTTTTCTCAACAACTGAGACAGGCTGTCAATACATCATAAATCATCAATTTTCAAATATACTGTATGTACACCATAGTGTGTAGAGCTATAACTTTCACGCAAACCAATATACACTAACTGGGATTTTTTTTTTTTTACCAAAGACATTTGGTAGAATACATTTTGGCCTAAATTTATGATGAAATTTGATTTTATTGAATAGGTTTTAGAACAGAAATGTAAAAATATTGTGGGTTCTTTTTCAAAATGTTTTTATTTCAGTTTGTATTGCAAAAAATAAAAACCAGTGGTGATCAAATATCAGAAAAAGAAAGCGCTATTTGTGAGAAAAAAAATGATAAAAAAGTAATTTGCGTACAGTATAGCATGACCGCACAACTGCCAGTTAAAGTAGCACAGTGCTGAATAGCAAAAAAAATGCCCTGGTCATGAGCGGAGTATAATCTTCTGGAGCTCAGGTGGACATGTATGTTTGTGAAACTCTAGGTTTTGCATTGTTTTCCTCCAACTGTAAAGTTTGTATATGCAACATTCTTGTTTCATAAAAGCAGTGTAGTATGCTGTAGGGCTTTTCGTTTCCTTGCCTTACTGGAATATAAGCTAAACAACTGGGGGCTTGTGGCTGGGTTTTGCACTAAAATTCAACTAAATCAGACCTGTTTTCTGTTGCTTGTGCTAAGAGATATGCTGCATGAATGGTTTAGGAAAAACAAGGCTACAGAAGTTTAATCACTAGCCTACAGGGCACTTATACCCCCTTCCCGCCCAGGCCAATTTCCAGCTTTCAGCGCTGTCACATTTTGAATGACAATTGCGCGGTCATGCACCACTGTACCCATATGACATTTTTATCATTTTTTTAGACAGATAGAGCTTTATTTTGGTGGTATTTAATCACCTCTGGGATTTTTATTTTTTCTTAAACCAAAAACCACTGAAAATTTTGAAAAAAAAAGTTTTTTCTTAGTTTTTGTTATACAATTTTGTAAATAAGTGATGGGCACTGATAGGCTGCACTGATGGACACTGATAGGTGGCACTGGTAGGTTGCACTGATGGGCATTGACAGGCATCACTGATGGGCACTGAAAGGCAGCACTGATACATGACACTGATATATGGCACTAATAGGCAGCACTGACTGGCACTGATAGGCAGCACTGACTGGCACTGATAGGCAGCACTGATGCGCACTGATAGGCGGCACTGATGCGCACTGATAGGTGGCACTCACTGATGGGCGACATTGAAAGGCAGCTCAGATGGGCACTGATATGTGGCATTGATGTGCACTGGTATGCACTGATATGTGGCATTGATGTGGCACTGATGGGCACTGGCACGTGGCACTGATGAGAACTGACAGGTGGCACTTCTGGGGCCACACTGATCCATCAGGCCACACTGATCATCAGTGCCCTGATGATCAGTGTACATGTCCCCTCTGCAGAAAGCCGATTACCGGCTCTCCTCTCCTCTCAAGCTGTCAGCGTAACAGCTCGAGAGGAGAGAAATGCCGATAACAGGCATTTCCGTGTTTACAGGTGAGCAGCTGTGATTGGACACAGCTGATCACATGACCGAGCCGACTTCTTCGGTTGTTTCCGTGATCTGCTATGTCAGAGGGACACAGCGCACCGACGATCGCCGCGCTGCGCGCTCCCTGAGCCGTGCATGTGCAGTGATAATGGTAGGACGTCATATGACATCCTATCAGAACGAGAGAACCACCTTGCGCCCGTCATTGTACCATAGGGCGGGCGGAAGGTGGTTAAAGTGTCCCAGAGGGGACATGCAACCTGCTTGCTTGGGCCAAAGACAGGTAATGGATGCCTCTTGCTAAGGAATTATTCAAGGCAGAAGCATCCTTTGGTGATAAAGTTTCAGATCATTTTGTAAATTTTAGCCCTAAGGGTTGTGATTTAAGCAAGGCAGAGAAGGCAGTATCCTCAATCGGCTAATACTTCTTTCATGCTCACTATTAATGACACAAAAAGGAGGGACATGGCAGAGTCAGAAATTAAAGTATTAAAGGCCAGCTAGCAGTTGCTAGGAAGTGTGTACTTCAACTGCTAATCAGGCCGGTGGCCAGCCCTCATGCTGAAATCAATAGTACTCACATTTGTGCAATTTGTTGAGTGTTTGCTGAAGCACGACAGACCATTTCTCATGCTGTTCTATGGGGTCCATTCACAGCCATGCTCTTTCCTGCAGTGCAATTATGGAAGAGCTGCAGGAACTCTTTTTGGTGCAAGATGGTATGATTTTGGATCCATCAAGGATGCACACTCATGCGTTTGATGCATTTTGTAGCACAACAAGACACCTCCTTCTAGCAACATCTACTCTACAGGAAGTACATAAGGTATGAGGAGGGGCAGTATTATATTAGTTCCCTCTATGGGCGGCCCTAGCAAGGTTTTAGAAATGTCCAATCAGCTGAACGTAGCCTGCTAATAAGCCATGACTTATGAATACAAGTCCTGTGTCCTGTGCTTTAGGAGTACGTTTTGCTTTTAGTTCAACCTTAACCACTTGCCCTCTAGAGAATTTACCCCCCTTAATGACCAGGCCTCTTTTTGCTACTTGGCGCTGCACTAATGCAACTGATAATTGCACGATCATGCAACGCTGCACCCAAACAAAATTTACGTCCTTTTTGTCACACAAATAGAGCTTTCTTTTGGTGGTATTTGATCACCTGTGCGCTTTTTATTTTTTGCGCTATAAACAAAAAAAGACAGAAAATTTTGAATAAAAACAATATTTTTTACTTAAAAAATACATAGTAAACTCAAAGTTAGTTAGAAATTTAGGCCAAAATGTATTCTGCTACGTTTTTGGTAAAAAGTTATAGCGTCTACAAACTATGGTATAAATACTGCAATTTATGCCTTTTTTTGCTATACAGCGCTGCACTAGTTTAACTAACAATTGCGTGGTCATGCAATACGGTACATAAATGAAATTTATGTCCTTTTTGTCACACAAATAGAGATTTCTTTTGGTGGTATTTGATCACGTGTGCTTTTTATTTTTTGCGCTATAAACAAAAAAAAAATAGAGAAATTAAAAAACAAAACAAAACAATATTTTCTCATTTCTGTCAAACTATCCAAAAAACTAAAATTTGTCATAAATTTAGGCCAAAATGTATTCTGATACATGTTTTTGGTTAAAAAAAAATCCCAATAAGTGTATATTTATTGCTTTGTGTGAAAATTATAGCATCTACAAACTATGGTATAGATAATAGAATTTACACAGCTTTTACTTTCTGACTGCCCATCACATTTCTTGAGATGCTAAAATACCAGGATAGTACAAACACCCCCAAATGACCCCTTTTTGGAAAGTAGACACCCTAAGCTATCTGCTGAGAGGCATATTGAGTCCATGGTAGATTTATTTTTTTTCCACAAGTTTCTGGAAAATGACAAAACATTTTTTTAATTTTTACACAAAGTTGTCATTTAAATTATATATTTCTCACACAAGCCATGGGTATATGTGGAATTACACCCTAAAGTACATGCTGCTACTTATAACGAGTATGGGGATACCACATGTGTGAGACTTTTTGGGAGCCTAGCCACATACAGGAGCCTGAAATCCAATGACCACTTTGAAAGCCTGAAGGTGCATAAACTTCCTCATTTTACTTCAAGACCTATCACAGTTTCGAAGGCCCTGAAATGCCAGGATAACACCAAACCCCCCCAAATTACCCCTTTTTGGAAAATAGACACCCCAAGGAATTTGAAAAGAGGCATGGTGAGTAATTTTTTCTCACAAGGTTTTGAAATATAAAAAAAGAAAAGAAAAAAAAGTTTGTTTTTTTCTTCATTTTCCAAAAACTTGTAGCAACAAACGAGATCTGCAAAATACTCACAATGCTTCTTATCAAATTCCTTGGGGTGTCTACTTTCCAAAAAGGGGTCATTTGGGGGGGGGGGGGGTGGTGCTATCCTGGCATTTCAGGGCCTTCGAGACTGTGATAGGTAGTCAGGAAGTGTAATGAGGAAAAAAGGCCCTTTAAAAGCCTGAAGGTGCTTATTGGATTTTGGGTCCAGTACTTGGCTAGACTGCCAAAATGTCTCTCACATGTGGTACCCCCATACTCAAGAGAAGTAGCAGAATGTATTTTGGGTAGTAATTCCACATATATCCATGGCATGTGTGAGCAATAAATCATTTAAGTGACAATTTTGTGTAAATAAAAAAAAAAATTTTTTTTGTTTGCCATTTTCCAAAAACTTGTGGTAAAAAATAAATTCTTCTATTGATTCAACATGCCTCTCAGCAAATAGTTTGAGGTGTCTACTTTCCAAAAAGGGTAGCTTTGGGGGTGGAGGCATTTTATGCCCAGCATTAGAAGTTTATTCCACACATCACTTACTCTTTTAACCACCTGAAGACCAAGTCTTTTCTGACACTTTTTGTTGATATGAAAAAAATTAGTATTTTTTGCTAGGAAATGAATTTAAACCCCAAACATTATATATTTCTTTAAAGCAAACACCCTAGTGAATAAAATGGTGGGTGCTGCAATTTTTTATGTCACATAGTACTCGCGCAGCAATTTTTCAAACGCAATTTAAAACAAAAAATACACAATGCACAAAAACACAATATATTGGCCAATTATTTAGTAACATGTAAAAGATGATGGTATGCCGAGTAAATAGATACCAAACATGATATGCTTTAAAAAAACTGCACATGCCCCGTGCAATGGCGACAAACTGCATATGTTTTTAATATCCATAGGCAATGTTTTAAAAGCCTTTACAAGCTACCATTTTAGATTTACAGAGGAGGTCTAGTGTTAGAATTACTGCCCTTGATCGGATGTTCGTGGGGATACCTCACATGCATAGTGCAACCGCTGTTTCCATACTGGCACAGGGTCAACGCTCACGAACGCAGGTGCACGTGTGCGCAGGGGGGCAAGGGTAATTTTTTTTTTTTGCTTAGTTATTTTTATTTTTTTTATTATTTTTACACTGTCCTTTTCATTTTTTTTTTATCACTTTTAATGCTATCACGGAGAATGCAAATATCCTCTATAACTTCAATGGGCATTGTCATATATTCTTTTTTGAGAAATCTGGGTTCTATCAGACTCTAGAGATCTCCTTTGCCCTAACATTATCTAATCAAACCAAAATCAGTGTGATCAGATGTTTTCCCAATTTACAAATGGCACTGTTTATATCCTGCGAAACTGAAGTGATGAAACACTCGTAGCTTCCGATTTCTTAGGCTATAGAGATGATTGGTACCATTCTGGTCTCCAATCAGCTCTATGGTCAGCTGGCAGAAACACACCGGCTGCATTCTCAGGTTCCCCCGATGGCACCGGACCGTGGAAGGCAGCGGGGGAGGGGTGGCATTGTCTCCTGCTGCTTGTAAAAGCAACCCTGCAGCTAATTAGCTACTAGGATTACTTTTATGAAAGCCAATCGCCAGCTGAAGAAAAAATGATACCAGGATGATGCCTGCAGCTGTAGGCATCATCCTGGTATAACCAAAGTCCAGTGACGTACCAGTACGTCGCTGGTCCTTGTTGGGTATATATGCTATGTTCTTTTTTTTTGGATGCAGCCTGTGGACTGAATGAAAAAAAGAGAAGAAATCTCTGCCAGAAAAAGTGTGTGGTATGCCCACCATTAGAATATACAGTGCTGCATCCACCCACTTCTAATGGTGGGCACACATTAGGTCACACGGTGCCACATGCGCCAGTTCCAAGATTGTACAAATGTCTAAATAGTGGCACGCTTAAATAAAAATTGTCCACGTAAAAGTGGTACCCCATATGGAAAAAGGATGACACCAAGTCCCAAACTATCTTGCCACTACTCCCAATGTAGTCTGGGGATCTGGGGGGCACCACGTAACTATCTTTTCCCTCATAAATCCGAAACTTATAAGTATAACCTGTTGTCCTCTCACAGGTCTTCTACATCTTGACCCCATATCTGGCACGCTAGCTGGGGAGAAATTGTTTGACTGCAAGGCAGCCAGAAAAATTAATGAGGGACTCATCAACACAGATTTTTTGCTGGGGAGTATAGACATCTGCAAATTTTTGATTAAGGTGATTTCAGAGTCACCCCAAAGACAACAGAGTGTGTTTGTCATTGAAATGCATAAAACACATTATATTCTCTTATCTATGCCTGGCCATGTCAGCAGAGAACGCGGGCATACGATGAATCGGGTTGGGCAGTGAATGGGGGGGGGGGGGGGGGTTCGGGTGCTGCAGAATTTGTGTGCTGCCAATCAGGATTTGAAAGCACATCCGGAAGGATTCTAGGGACTCTGCAGGCCTTTGTGCGAATTCTTAGTGGTTGCGGGAAAAATACTTGTTCTCGCCACTGCACAAGCTTGTACTGCACTTATGGGGCTCGCCACATCACCAAGTGATACTGAAGTGCTGGTATTATTATTATACAGGATTTATATAGCGCCAACAGTCAGCACTTTACAATATGACGGGAGACAATACAGCAACAATACAATCCAATACAAGAGGGTTAGGAGGGCCCTGATCCTG